CTTCCTATGGGGTACACGGGATGACAGGAAGTGCTGGGGCAGCCAATGAACATCAGGGAAGACTCACCGCATTGACATTGGCGAATCCTGCAGCGGGAGATTGGACGTTCCCATTGGATGTGATGGTGAAGAGAGACGGGATGGGAGAGGTGATCTTGTACTGCGAGGAACAGACAAAGAATTCACGGAGCAAGAAATACATATAATACGATACATTAGGGATGCACCGATACCACTTTTTTAAGCCCGAGTACGAGTACCGATACTTTTGATCAAGTACTCGCCGATACCAATTACCGATACTTTTTCTTAAAGGGACAGATCACATTTTTTCTGAAGCAATACAAACTAATGCTTTAAGGTCACTTTCCTAATATTATTATTCATGAGATGACGAGGGAGCATGACGCCGGCTTCCCGGCCAATCAGAATGCCGGGCGCTGCGTCATTACACGGCGCCCGGCTTCCTAATTTGCTAGCTTCCTGACCAATCGGGAAGCCGGGCAGCGCGTCATTGCACCCTACCCGGCTTCCTGATTGGCCGGGAAGTCGGCTCCATGCTCTCTCATCACAAGTGACCAGAGAGCATGGAGACGTTTCCTGGCCAATCAGGAAACCGGGCGCCGTGTAATGACGCGCTGCCCGGCTTCCTGATACAGGAAGTACTCGTGCAAGGTATCGGAGCATTTGGGCGAGTACGAGTACTCACCCAAATACTCGGTATCGGCACCAATACCGATAAAAGTATCGGTGCATCCCTACTATACATACTATGTAACATATACCCAATGCACAGAGATACTATATACTGTATACACCACACATAGATATACCGTATACCATATACATTATATATATAAATAGACAGAGATACTATGTAACATAATACATACACAGAGATATTATAAGTGACTTTATAAATCATGGATCGGGTTCATATTAGGTGAATATTATAAGTGTGGAGAGTTATAATCATCATAGCCAGACCCCCCTCTCCCCGTCCTGTATGGATTCAACTTTATTAATCGGAGAGATTTGCCATCCCTTCCTCTCATAATGGGGGGGGGGATCTCTCTAATGGGGGACACATATGGTAATAAAACCCCTCCCCCCATCCAATATAAAACGCTTGAGCTGGGCTTTAGCCAATGCCGGAGGGGGAACTAAGGTCGCCACCTTTCCTTCCATCGAAACCCAAACACTCCTCAAATTTATTTTGGGAGAACGAGTCGCGGTTTATTCCGATGTAAATATCACAGCTGAGACTGTTTTC